ATACCATATGTCTTCTTGAAAACCTGACAAAAGTGTTCTCTGATCAAATCATCTAGCCAAATGCCACCGACGCCAAGATCATAGGTAGTACCCAACATCTGTAAACGATGAAAGCTCGTGAGTTGAGCGATTTTGACAGAATCGGAATTACCTGCAGTTTCCCCTTGTGGAACGCGACGATACTCGCTTGAGTAGACGCATGACCAACATCCAAGAAAACCACATAACGCGGTTTAGCTGTTTCCTCAGGAAGATCTTGTTTATAGATTCCTAAAGAACAATTCAGTTTAAAGACAATGTGTAGCAATTACAGAATACCTCACCATATGTAAGCGCTATGGCAGTGCTTTCGTTCATTACCCGAAGTGCATTCAAACCGGCATACTGGGTAGCAGCATGCACAGCACGTCGCTGCACATCCGTAAAGTAAGAAGGCACCTAAAATTTAATATCGAAGACTAGACAGAAAATAGCTGACATAAGGTGGAAGCATACCGTAATTACACAATCTGTCACTTTCTTAACATCTTTCATCTGACTTTCAATGATATCCCTCAGTTTAGTGAGTAGAGCAGCAAGAACTTGTTCAGGAGTGAAGATTGCTTCTCGGCCCAGATAGTTGACCTGAAAAGAAAACCAGATAGAACGAAAATCAACGGATATTCCTCTAGCATAAAAACAAAAAAACAACACGGCAGCTTCTAGTATAATCGATGAAACCAAAAATTCTTCAAAAAACCACCTCTTATCTCATGTTCAAGAACAAAATACACTCAACCTCTGAAAGATATTCTAAAAGATTAATTTCTGGGGGATTGGAAGAACACACATTTCAGATAGTATCTTTATAGGTTAACTGCTACACACTTTTTCACTCTTCCAAATGCAAGCCATATTGAAAGTCAGAATTCAGTGGACTCTCAAATTAAATCATTTTCATAGCTACCAGACTATCCCTAGGGGTGAACAGTTGTTTAGCGTAAATTCGTCAGCAACAGCTGGACAAAATATACACCATCGTAAAGATGAATGGATCTGTCTGATCAAGGAGGGTAAAGATCACAGAACATACATTTCACAAGTCAATTGGAGTTCTGGAACTATCACTCAAAGTAAATGTAACCCTAAACTTATTTTATTGAAAAGTTCATCTGAAACAAAAGCAGAGATGATGCGCACACAAAATGAACTTCACAATTATTTCACTCTAGTCAATCTCTCGCTCCAAAAACTGCAAAAAAA